AGCGAGAGAACAAACAAAGTACTACAAAAATAATCAGACAAAAACTGAGAGAGCGCAAAAAGAAAATTAAAAATCGGGCTAGCTCACCGCGAAAAAGCTGCTGATCCGTCGAAGTCGAAGATCCTTTGAACTTTTTGTCAGGTCCACGACGACCTTGTGTAGGCTGTCTCCTTTTCCTGCTTGCTGCCTTCTTAGCTTTCTTTAAGCGTTTTTCGTCCTCGAGCCAGATGCTAACTCATTCGAAACATATTCATCAAGTGCTAAGGTCGCAAGCGAGAGAGAGAGAGAACAAACTGAAAACAGCATCTTAAATAGGTAAAACGAACCAATCGGAAGCTACAATAAGCGTACTGCGACACCGAAAGGTGACAAACTGTAATAAGGTATGCGAAGCTAAAATAACAGTGGAAAATATATTGCTCACAGGCAAGGGGTGGGTAAGGCGTATTTTTGAGCGCACTTAGTTGTAGCTTTGACATCGTTTTTATTTTAGATTCGTTGAAGCTATGATTTAATCTTGATTTCGTAGATCCCGTTACCGGCAGTACCCGTGAATCAAACGTCAACACCAGGGTTTGTGAAGGCAGTAAGAAAACAGAGTTTACCCGGAGATTTGGGAAGGGAGTAAGTATATTATAACGTCTCCTCTTTATGGTCTTAGACAAGGTTCCGGAAAGGACTTTTGTTGCAACTTACAGATTCATTTGTCGAACCGCAAACTGCCTTCAACCTGACAGAGTTTACAAGTATTTAGTTTGTTTGGAAAAACATATAATGGGTAATGGAGTGCACGTTTCCTGAAGATTTGAGTGTTTTCATTCACTGAATCACCTGAACAACCCAATGTTCACAAGTCTCCAGCCTTTATTTGGCTTCCTTGCCACATTTTTCTGTTATTTGTCGATTGATTATATTTGTTGTAATATACTTTTGCGGAAAGAGAAACTTCAATGTTTTCCCTGTAACACTTACTCTTATTGTGTTTCTTTGACCAGAAGTGTTCCAGCAACGGCGGCGACCATGAAGCTGAGGCGGCAAAGTGAAAATCGATCACGACAGAGTTTGTGGTATGAAAGCGATGATATTCCGTCCAAAAAGGTGCGCTAGTTTCTCTTTTTTGTCTCTAAAATTACTCTTAAATGAAGCTTCATATGATAAAATTTATCCGATGAAAATCAATCAGAAATAGTCGTTATGTATGCTTAACGTTATTTTGACGAGAACAAACCTCAGTCCTGAAGATCAGTTTTTCTCCAAGTAGACCCTAGCTAATTAAACCCACAAATAAAACATTGTTGTTTCTTTACAAATTTGGAAATATGAATAATTGAAGTTTTTTTTTTCTTTTACTAACAGATGTCTGGTTCTAAATCCTTGGAGGCTCTCTCTGAAATAGATGAATCTTCGCCTCCAGTTCCAACGAAGAAAAACTCCAAACCAGATCTTGCTTCTGGGCACTCGCCTGAGACGATCCGTAGAAGGATGGGTCTTGGTGGAAAACTTCAACAACGAAGTTCCTCCCCTGCGGGAATGTTAAGGACTGTGCTATCACCTCAAGCAAAGTATGTCCATCAACTAGATTTGTCCTTAGAATTATTTCAAGGTTAAATAGGTGTTGTTAAACCAAAACTAATCCCAACCAGAAAAGAAAAGAACCAATTGAAGAAGTAGCATTCCGAAATGCAATTAGAGCCAGTGAACCATCCATTAACCTGAAAAAGTGTCTAACAAGCTTGTTGAAATTATCGTTTTCTGAATTATTCTCTATAGTTGGTACATGTACTACTGAACTTTACTAAGCTAACGAATACTTTGGTGGTCTTATTCCTCTTACTTTTCATTTCACGTTCCTTTCCAGTGGGGAAATATCCCCCGCCCTCCCTCCCAAGCGTAAAAGTGTCTTAATTTCAAGTCCACAAGACAGCACCTCGTCAGTCCCTCCACCCCTTCCTACACGTACATCTATTGGTCTGCCAGCAGATAATTCTGTTAACGGAGCTGTTACTGGGAACGAGCCCAGGGAGACCCCTGCAGTTGATGACGTCAATCTTCCCGCTTTACCTCCCAAGAAGTCTGTATCTAGAATGTCTCTGGATAGCGAATCAGGGTTTCCAGAAAAACCAATGGTAGGAAACAGGTTTTCTTTTACGTACCTATAGACTTAAATATCTACTTTGAAAGGGAGGAAACGGGTAACCGACAACGTGAATTATGAAATCACTTCCTGATGTTGTCATTGTGTGCTCTATGTTAAGCCTCTCAGGCTGTTATTAAAGAATCCTGTGCAGTGTGGGTCACTTGCTGATAGATGACTATTTCGTGGAAAAACAGTAAATTGGCTCACAAAGATGTACTCTATTTACTGAATTTAAAAGCGGAAATTCTCCAAGTGGCTCATCTACTACTTCCAGATCTCAATGAAACTTAATACGTTGTGGTATCATTGTTGGAGAATACAGAAAAAAGTCTTTGGAGCAGGAGAGCAAGAAAAAAACCAACGTTGGCCTCAGTTCGCATGTAACGCTAGGTTTGGAAGTTAAACCACGTCAACACCAGTGAAAAGCCAGCGCCCTTATTACGGCGCCATAGAAAATATAGAACACTCAATTGTTCTACTTATCTTTCTCCTGACTGATTGTGTTCTGTCCCTTCTTTCATTCAAGCGCCCTGATACTCTGACGTTTGCTGAAGATGATTCGAACTCAGAACCTGTTCCTGTGTTGCCAGAGAAACGTAAAAGCTACGCCAGCACCACTTCCAGTCGAGCGTCTTCCTCAGTCTTCTCTGATACAGCTTCAGATTTCCCGTCTCCAATGTCCCCTTCAGTTCCTTTAAAATTTCAAAAACAATTTCCTGATAGACTCCCGGTTGGGTCGTCAACGCGAGATTCCCGTGGATCAACTCTTCCATCGGGGTCTACAAGCTCAACAATATCCCTGGGAACTCCCCGCCCGGGGTCTTTCACAGCTCCAAGGCCAAGTGGCAGTGGACCAAATAACTATAGTTACGTAACACCACCATCGTCTCCACGAGTTCCCTACGACTACGTTTCTTCACCCAATGAGTCAGTAGCAAGCTGGGTATCGAACAGCACACAATATTTTTCAGCTTCGTCTTCCTTTGACAGCGACATCTTTTCCCCAGGAACACCTCCAAAGCGCGAATCCAACATAGATGTGCCGCCGCCATCACCGTCATCCATCTCGCGGAGTGTAGATCTTTTAGCAACGTCGCCCACGAAGAACGATTCTACCCCACCACTTATTCCGTTTAAAGGAACTCATCACTTCTCCACATCCGTTGAAAAGGTTGAAACATTTTCATTTTCGGAAACAACGTTAACGGGGACATCAATGATGACGTCATCGACAGAGGAAGAGTCTGTTGACCAACCAGTGAAACCCCGTACCCCAGTCCCAGTCCCACGGAGGAACACGATGAGCCCGTCGTCAAGTCGACCAACGGGTTCGTTATCTCGATCACGCTCTGATGTGTCGGATGGTAACCAAGGTCCCGGGCGGGTAACTCCGCCCCCAATTAAACCCCGAAAGTCCACAAGTCTTTCATCAGATCAAGGTCCAAAGTCCCCTCCGCCACCCAAACCTCCCAGACCTTCGCAGGCCAGGGAACCTCCACCAAAGCCCAAACCTTACGCTTCCAGATCAGTGGAGAACTCGCCTGCGGTTCAAAGAAAAGCGGTCAGTGAAAGCATGCAGAACATTCCACCTGGAGAAAAAAATGGATCGTGACCACATCCATTAAGATGTAAAGAGATTCAGCGCAACCTGTCTTCCCTGATTTTCTTTGAACAGCGGCGTCCTCACTTGGATTTAAATAAATATATGCTTCCCGCAAGCGAACTCGTATTTCAGGCTTAAATGTCCTTAAAATTTGAACCCTAGATTCGTTCAAGCAATTCGTTTTCTTTCGCTGGAAAATAGCTAAAAAAACATACCTTAAACTAAAACGTACTTTTCCAGCATATTGCACTCCATCTACGACGGTTTATAACGCACTTAAACTACGAAAACGGATGGGTCCTCCTTTTGTAAAATGGTCGTTAATTACTGCACATAATGTACAGAGATAAATGCTTAATAGGCACAAGATATCATAATATGTAACAAAATTATCGTTGCTGACAAAAATTATGACGCATTTCCTCAGGTTGAAATAGTAGAAGAGGTACCATAATTATAAGTAAAGAAATACGGTCTTGAATATAGGATTTTTTCTTTGTGAATACGACCTTTTAATATTGAAAATACTGTGCAAGGTATAAGTTGAAGTATCTTCATGTTTTTTTCAATTTGTGAAAATTGTAGTTACCCTAATGACTAAATGAGCAAGGAAGCTTATATTTGAGTTCATTGTATTTTTCTGAGATTTTGCATCGATTAAAATTATTCTAATGAAAACAAAGATGCCTTACAACCATTCAAAACCATTGCAACCAATTTATTCATATTTTGTGCAGCCTTTGTTCATAGAGAAGTACAGAAAATGACTGCACTGGACTAATGGAAATGCCCAAACGTCCCTTCCATTCCACCCCGTTTTCTTCCTCCGTTCCCTCCCTGGGTGGGTTAACTAAGTAAATTGGCCCCAAGCAGTCTCTCTTTTACCAGGAAGTCCGTCGCGCGCAAATATCAAGCGGCACCCAAGAACCTTAAGCTTAGCTATGCCCTTGGTTAAATGGATAAGTACTAAGAATTGACACAAGTTTAACCATGGGATATCACTTTGATAGAACACCAACTTTCAACTCGAGTGATAAAAAAAAAACAAAAACAAAAAACGATGTACGGTAAGAATCTGTAGTGAGAATTTTTTTTTGAACATGCGAGTGAAGAGTTGAACCGATATACGCAGGCGCAGTAAAGTGCACTTGTACTTAGGGTTATCGGCCGAGTTTGAAAGTGGAGGAAGTGCTCACTACCATTTCACAATTAGGTTGATACGGGTCTCCATGCAACGATCAAGTAGAGATGAACCCAAAATCCGCAAAATATATTTATTTAATGTACTCTTCTGTGGATATCAGGATAAAATTTTCAGTACTTAAGTTATCAAGCCATTTCGGAAACGTCGAGTGCAAACGATGTCGGTTTCAGAATAGGTCGCGCTTCATCCTGTGATACATGTTCCAGTCTTGGAAATAGCTCGATAGGTTTGCAACCCATTCGAAACCATATTTGTTGTTTAGTCGCACATTCGAAAATTGTCATTCTCGTCAGTTAATGGATACCTCCAGGAGTTAGAATTATTAATATGACGGCATACATAAGGGGGATAAAATCGCTTATACTGTTCTCTTGATCGACTCGAGTTGCAAAGACCTGGTAACTATTCCCAACAGCACTTAACAGGAGAAAAGAACGGAGAACATCACCGAAGTATATCGCCTGGGCTGCGTTACACTTAAATTGATATAGGTGTTCTCTCTATTTCAGGACTTTGGTCCACGGACGTTGTTCTACTCTCCAATGTCTCCTCCCTTTGTTTTGACTCCAGCTGAGCTTTGTTGATCTCTGTGGGCCAAATCGTGTGCCGAAACACTGAAATTACCACCCTGAAAATAGGAAAAAAAATATTAAAAAGTAAAAGGCCAAATCGGACAGTTAAGCAGTTCATAAGATACATGAAAAATTACTTAGTTCTGATTGGTTCAGATAAAAGTAGTTTTCATGTAATTCAATGCAGAAGAGGGTTAAATCAATGCAAAGAAGTAACAAACCAGACTGAACAATTCCTTGAACTGTTCAGCCGGACTATCGACTTTTTTGCGCCTTAAAGATGTGAAAATATCATTGTATATTATTGTTTTGATCGTACGCAGTTGTTTTGACAGAACGCACAATGTCACTTGCAGGGTTTGAATACACTATTTTTGCACTTGATGCGCGCGCCTTGCTCTGCATAATTATGATAAGTTATCTCGTGTTTTTTCATGTCTATTATTAATAGGAAATCATATAATTTTTCTCGTGCAATTTGGAATAAATAAGCACTTGTAAATTTTTCCAAAGACCACAAATTGCACTCGAAATTATGTGATTACCTATGCGAAAAATGATGAAGCACTATAAACTATCAATCAATGAATTTCACCTTCCAACCCTTCGCTGATCAATCAGAATAAAGGAAAACTTCTTAGATGAGCGCGTTGACAGGTTTGGATTGAAAATCAACTTTAGAAAATTGAACTTTAGTTGATCAGTTATCCATAAGAAGCGTACAAGCTCTGAAAATTACATGTTTCATTCTTGAGCCTCTCGCATTTTGTTGTTCTGCCGACATTAATTGGTAATCAGACTTCGTGTCAGGTGTCATCGTTCTCCTAATTTCAAATGAACCTTGCGCTACGCGCTTGGCCAGTTTGAAATCATTCGCCCGATTACTAACTGAGAACTAAACTTACATCGGATAACATTCAAAAATACCTTGGAAGCAGAGCAGCAACCGCACTTAAAGCGCAAACAGCCCAGAATTCCCTGGTTGCCATGGTTACGAATGGTACTTTATACATCTCCCAAAAGACGCCTCTAATTTCGCCAAAGACAGCGAACCACACGAATGAGATACCGATACTACCCCATAGGAACACATGATGTAGAATTGTCTGCGGGTAAAATGCCACAACATGAGTTAGTACGCCTTACATTAACAGACAGATTTGCAGTTGCCCGCAAAATTACAGACATTTGAGGAGTTATCTCCTGGGAGGTGCGTTTGCCTAACGGTTAGGGTGCTCAAGTTCCGATTGAGGGCCTGGGTTTGAACCTTGGCCGTACTGTGGTTTAAGGTTCTTCAGTGTTGAGTTCTGTCGTTACTTCCTCTCATTGTTTGGCTTCGGCTGCTCTTGGTTGAATAGTGCTTTGCTAGTCACTTCCGAGCTAGTCAGTCAGAGGGGGTAAAAAAGTCATTTTTCACTTGTGCATTCTTTTCCTTATATATATATATATATATATATATATATATATATATATATATATATATATATATATATATATATATATATATATATATATATATATATATATATATATATATATATATATATATATATATATATATATATATGGTGAACTGCATTAAATCGAAACTTCAAGTAAAATTGAGAAAGGTTAGATTACTTGGGAGAAAAAGAAACGACGGTTGAAATATTCGCTGTTTTCCTTACCCACTGAGCTGTGATCAGAGCTAAATACAAGTTGGCAACTATCACAGAACTCTGGTGAAGGGTAACCCCAACCATGCGAATGCCAGCAGCGGTTCCATTATACACCTGTAATGAATAAAAATTGGAAATAGTTGAAAACAGTGACACTTATTAATTGCACTTGACATCCTCTAATGCGTCGACGCATTGCTGAATCAACCGCTGACCTTTATTCACAGTTCTTATCTGAGAAATCAATCTACCATCGGAAATTAAAGCAGAAATATTGAGATTAAATACTTCATTACTTTCATTAAAACATTTGACAAGTCAATTTGTCATTTTTGGTTTGATTTGTGAAATCACGTGTTCTTCAACACTGATTGGAGCAACAGTCAAAGGAGTGAAGAAAGAAATTCGGTTTGCACAAGATTTTTCTCGCCTCTTTTTGTTATTGAGAAGATCTTGTGACCAGTCAGATTCAAATCTAAGGCTAATTGTAAATTAGTCAAACCCGCTTGTCGGTGCCCGAGACAGATTAGCACCATGAGCTTATTAAAGCGTCCAAGGTTCTTTGGCTCAATCAAAAAGCGCTCTTAGGCCTTTGGTGTTTCAGGTTCATTATACGATGTAACTCACCCAGAAAGCTACATAGAACACCACCAAGCTTTCATACAAAGCATCCAAGATTGTCGTCCAAAACAGCTTCCTTGTGTAAAGCTATAGGTATAAACAAAACCAAAAGTTTTATCCAAAATACAGTCCTTTACTAACAAAGTACTTCAAACAAATCCGTGATTAAAACATAACGATTATTTCAGTTGAACGAAAAAAGCACGTAATGCCTTTTTCACATTGCTTGATGATTGGCAAAGGGCCCTTGGGAGTAGGCTCAAAAACCTGTTCAATCCGTATCTGATCAGTACCTCTTCAGGAACGGTATGATATGTGCCAAGGAATACTTTAAGAGAAAGTTTGGCGAGAATAATGGAGTTTAACCACGTGGCTTTAACACGAGGTGACTACGAGTATCACAACTCCTTGTGAACGGGTACTAGTCCATCGTAAGAAACCCTCCCCCCCCCTCCCCTTTTTCCCGACGAAGAACTGTCACTTGTCACTAAAAGTTCAGCGGTAACCACTCCTACTCTTGGGCAAGAAGAAAAACTGTGACAGGGATGCGCCATGCCCAAGAAGACACCACGCTAATCGGGGCTCGTAAGCAGACCGATCCACAGTCCAGCACGCCTAACACATGACTAGCGCGTTCTCCACGTGTACTTCAAAGAGGGACTCAGAGTGTCTGGTGCTTCTTAACATGGTTTGTCTAACTAGATCTTTGTAATACGAGGAATAGTTCGATTACAGCTACATATAAAAAAAAAGCTGTATTCTACTGATCTGAACCTTGCTCTTCTGTCCTGTTTTGTACAGAGAAGGATTTGCAGTCAATATTAGATCGGGAACATCTTTATCCAGGACTCCACAAATCACCGGAGGCACCGTTGTGAACGCGAGATTGAAGAGAATCAGAGACAAGTCGTCGATAGCATTTGAGCCTGAGAAACCGTTGTAAAGTTGAAACCAGAAAAGAACGAGCACAAACATCTGAAAGGAAAAGCACAATGAAAATAGAGCAATTTTAAATAATATGTCGTAAGTAATTGGAGATTGCTTTGCTTTTGCTTTATTTCGCCCTGTGATTGGTCAAGAAAACTCGCGCCACCTTTTCCACCAATCAGATGCAAAACTAAAACCAATCACGCCTTGGTCACCCGCGTTTTCCCGCGTTTTCCCGCGTTTTAGTTGTTGGTTGTTTGTACTCAGACTTCTTATTGGTTCTTGAAGGTAGTTTCCTTTCTTCTGATTGGCTCGTTGTGATAGTTTCCATGCTATGATTGACTGTTGCTCTAACTTTGGTTTTGGTTTTGCGGCACTCAATCGAATAGCACTCTATTGCAAGCTGAAGTCAATAACCTCAAGTACCTACGTCCACCGGTGTCTGCCAGACCGCTATTTCCATCAGGCATTTTTGCTTTTGTCATTATTCCATGGTAGTACATAATAACTCACACAAATTAAAGTTGAACGGCTTGACAGATTTTTAAATAACTACTAATAAAATTGATTGATTTTAGTTTATTTGGCTGCAGATTTAGGTAAATTTTCATTTCTGCTTTCCAGCCATAATCCATTAACTCTCACGATCTGATTGTTAATTCTCCCTTTAGCTGCTACACATTTCCTTGTAAATTAGTTATGAGAATTTGTTGCTAGATAACAACTTCTACCTGAAAAGTGTGAGTATTCTCATCACTTGTTTGGTGGATAATGTGTGGATATTATAGGAAGATGTTGCATGTTAATCACTTCCGGGAGTTAAAGGGTTACAAAACAAAACACTCTGTATAAAAACTGTTATTCTGATTCATCGAAAACATTATCGTCTAAAATTGAATAGAGTCAAATTTATAGCTGACTTACAGCATTCTTGAAGAAGAAATAAAGAAACATCTTGGAGATTCGATCATAGCACCAGTGACCATGGACCAATAGGAGACGAGATAAGAATTTAAATCGACCAATGGCGAAGTCGCTTGCCATGACAGCCTGCATTCCTTCTTGACCCGAAATTCCAATTCCAACGTCGGCCATTTGTATCATGCTTACGTCATTAGCACCATCACCAATCGCTAACGTCATTGTTTTCAGTCCATTTCTGACCAGCTGAACAACTGCAGACTAAAAACCAAGACATACCGAGGCTCAGTTGGGGATATAAATAAAAGTCAAATCTAGTAGACCGTGTAGCAAGAATTTTTCGGTTCAGCAGTTAGAGAGGATTGTTCTAAAAAGATCCTACAGGAAGTTTTGCCGTCGTGGCGACGTTATTGGATGAAAGACTCCAACGGTTTTTTTTTTTCCCTATGAGATTATCCTACCAACTATTACTCCAAGGTTCAAATCATTGGCCGAACTGAAAGAGTGAAATACCTATAACATTAACCCTTTCACCACTGAGAGTGACAAGCCTCTAATTTCTCCTTACTGTATGACCCCTGGATCAAACATTAAGGTCATGAGTGTAAAGGAGATGATCAGCATGTACAAGAGCTCTTGATTGTTAAGCAAAATCTCCTCGACAGCAACTTAGGAAATGTGTAGAAAACAGTATGGAGAATATGCATACTGATCTTAGGGTGTAAAGGGTTAAGGCAATAGTTTGTTTTATTATCTACAACGTGTCGTCTGTTGTCTGAATTTACACCATCGTTAAGATCAGCCCTAGCCAAGTTTAGAACTTTACATACCAACTAACCTTTTGTAACGGAGTAGCTCTACAACAAAGAACCGCCTGACAATGTCTGGCTAAGTCCAAGAACTTTTCATTCAAAGGCTCCTCGAGCGCGAACATGAGTGTCCGTCCGTCAATCACAAGTCCGACAGCTTTGTCATTCAGGTGTGCATTGATACGGCCTGACACTGTGTTGGAGGACTGGTCGCTGGAAATACTCCTTACTTCAGACTGAAAATGCGTCAGCCAAGATGTGATCTGGTCTTCACATTCCGCCTGCCGGCAGAAATGAAGTTACGATTTTGTTTGGTTCTTGGACTAAAAAATAAGTGCTATAAAACAAATAGAAAAAAGGAAAGCATACCTTTGTTCTCGCGTTCAAAATGATCCTTTCCATTGTATTGTCCAAAAGTTTGCAGGAATATCCCACGTTAATTGCGGTTTCCTAAATAAAATTACAGCTTGGGTTAATTCAATTTCAAATACTACAGACGCACAAAACAAGAAATCAGTTAATCTGTGAGTAAGTCAACCAGCGTGAAAAGCTAAAAGCAAAACTTCATAGGTCTCCAGAAATTGAGATACTTTCAGTTAGGTGTCGGAAGCAAACGGCGCCTGCATTGGTTTTGCTTCACTAGGACCTGCGTGTTGTTGAGGGAACTCAATCAGATGCAAGAATCAAACCAATACCAATGTGCGCACCCGCGTTTCCCGCGCTTTTAGTAGTTTTCCCGTTTTCACTTTGAGTTCTTATTGGCTGATTGTAGTGTTTTATTTTGCCCTGATTGGCCAATGTAATACTCTGGTTTTGTTTTTACGATACTCAATTGAAAAGCGCTCCAATGACCAGACGGGCTAACAGTATCTGGTTATAATTTCATCTTTCAATCACCTGCTTATCTCCTGTGAGGACCCAAACTTTGATGCCTGCCTCACGTAACATGGCGATGGTCTCAGGGACATCATCTTGCAAACGGTCCTCAATGCCAGTAGCACCAAGGAGCTCCAAGTTACATTCTAATCTATGGGCTGACTCTCGAAGGAGCCTTTCTCTGTCATGGAGAGCTGTTTCAGCATGCCGGTGTTGTTCTAACCAATCCTCGTAATCGCCGGTTGCTAAGTCCTGAAACAACAGTAGATATGATGTTTATGTCCGAGTCTAATTATCGCTACAACACTAAGTGCTTTAGCAAAGACGGCTCCGTGATTTCTTTTCAGTCAGTTCCTGTCGTGCATATGCTCTGCGCCAATATTCCAGTGGGTCTCTCAGCATTGAAAATGAAATATATTGAGGACTCTAATTAACCATATGTATTTCTATAGCACAACATGAAAGTTTTGCGAGTTTTAATTTTTGCGGACCTAACAGAGCATACTTACGTCGCAAAGCAGTATATTATTCTAACTCTTGGTGTACAATCCTCAGAAAATTGTGCAGCACTTTTGATAAAATACAACTTACTCTCGGTCGTAAAGGTAGGTTCTGTTACTGTAAGTTAGCGGTAACCGTTCCGTCATTTAGCCAAAACTGAGGAGTGTTATACAGTACCGCTCAAAGGTAAGTTGACAGTCCCTCGAACCTCGATCTCGAACCTCGATACTCGATACCCAATAAATTCGAGGATCGAGGCTCGAATCGAGTTTCGAGATGTTTAAGTCGAGTATCGAGACCATCGAAACTCGGTTCGAGACTCTCGAAGTTGGGAAACAATGGAGTTTTTACGTAATTAATTTTCACACGATTTGAAGTCCTTACTTCTAGTCTAATCCAAGGAATGAAAATCCGTATAGCGTGCATCGTTGCCAACGGAGCGAAACTTCGCTCGAAATATAATACAATACATGGGTATTTCCGTGTTTTGGACCATAACCTCGCGAAGATTATTAATTTACTGTATGCGTTGCAGACCTCTGTGCCGTTTCCCCACAGTACGCGGTCATTTATACAGTTGAAAGGCATAACGCTGTAGTCTTTACAGTCTTAATTATATTACAACAATCACACTTTATTGAACTGTTACAATCTTTAGCGAAGTAGTATCATAAATCACTCACCCTTCTGGCCATACAAAGAGTCCTTAGCCCGTCCCTAGCATAAAGATCCAAATGACTCGACGTCTCCTCCACTAAAGATCCGCTACTGCTACTCCTGGCCGCCCACGACCCTTCACCTGCATCAACATCATCCGCTCGGAACTGTTGATTAGCTCGTTCCAGCTTTGGAAGCACGGCTGAATCAGCTCCTTTACAATACAACACTATGCTACTGTCATCCTGACGGCGCACGATAACTGACATGCGTTTACGCGAAGAATCAAATGGTAGCACTTGTAATATTTCGTAAGTCACTGGACCCTCGCCAGGAATATGCAAAGTAACTTTCTCAGGACTACGACTTAGAAGTTTGTAGCCGTACAAGTGAGCAGCTTTCACAAGTGCGGCCTCGTCAGGCGACTCTGCCTCATAAATAATTTCGTCATTTGCTGTACTGTCTTCCACCGCAGCTTCCATCAGAGATGCAGGGCACTTAGGCCGTTTAGATGACCTTTCAAGAGCAGTTTTCACAGGTGTTACCGACACACCCAGGTTGCCATGTGCAGAACTTAAGTCTCTTGAGTGAGAGTGTGTGCTTCCATAATCAGGCCTACAGAGGTGATCGTTCCACGAACTGTACTCGCCTAAATCTACAGGGACGTGTTTATTATGTGAATTGTGGGGTAAATCGGTTTGATCTGTTGGTGGTGAAGCGCTGTTATTTGAAGTCCCGCTAGACTTTCTTGTTACAACCACAGTATTGCATATGGCAAGTAATATGAAAAACTCTCTCAAGTAAGAGCTTTGTGGCCCACAGTGGTAGCTACTACTGCTGCTCGATTCCACTACTTGTGCAAGTTCTTTATCCCAGTAAACTTCACCACCCTACAATGTGGAACAGTCAAATTAAGCAAACAAAAGAAAGAAAGTTGTATTTAACGAGAAAGCCATAAGGGATTGGAGAAGAAAAGAAGGGATAACTTACTACCACAGACAAAATATTTTCATTCACATCTGTGAAATGCCAGTTATTGCCTGAGAAATAGCATTTTGTTCGCCACGCTGACCAGTTTTAAGCTTGCTGAGAAATATAGAAATGCAATGCCTTTTAACCCCTATAACTTTGCAGGCTGGTCGAAAGTAAATGCCTCCATTCAGGCAACCTCTTAATAACACACGAACATTCATATCAACAAACACGTAACTAGTTGCTAGCCATGGCCTCATCATTGTTTTACACCTTAAAATTAGTTTGCGTATTCTCTATACTGTTCTCTATACATTCCCTGCGGTACTGACAAGGAGAATTTGTTGAACAAGCCAGGGCTTATTTAGTTGGTAATGATTTTCTTTGTTCCCGTGACATTAATGTGTAATTCAGGGTTGATACTGTAAGGAGAAGTTAGATGCTGGTCACCCTCAGGAGTCAAAGGGATAAATTAAGAAACCATTAACAACCAGACCACAGAAATCATTATTGGAGGACCCTTGCAAGACTACACAAGACAAAGATCCTTATGGAAATCTTGAACAATCTGACAGGATCTCTTAATATATGTAAAAATTCAAAATGGCTCCCTTGCAACATGGATCAGCAAATTTCGGTAAGTCTTTATCATAATTCACTTACATTTGATCCCTCAGAAATTTGATAGTACATTTGATCAGCATCTGATGATGACAGTACAGCATCTGTAACATCTGACTCTGTTAATTGTTGCAATGAAACAGACATCAAAATCAGCCAGATTAAAATGTACAAAATCTTTCAGTATATGACATGTTCTACTTGTCAGAAATGATCATAAACATCACCTCCCTTATAGAGCAAAAAAAATTTACAAAACTACTGGGGCAATGCTGGGTTATTTATAAAATAACTTTTTGATTGGGAATCATGTGATTGCCTTCTACTAGCCACAGTAAGAAAAATGAGAAGGCTAATTTAAGAAATTAAGAATACACTGAAACTCTCACTTATATGGAAATAAACTGCTCAGAATTCTCCCAGAGAAGGGACAGTGGTCAAAGAAGATTGTCACTGACATTAACATGGAAAATAATCAAAGTTTCATCAGGAAATGTCAAAAAATTGGCATTTCCATTTCTTGCTTATACCTGTGCAGGCATCTCATTAGGGTGAGTTACCTTTAAGGAGCTCTCAATCATCTTTTAAACTGGCCACATTTGATTTGAAGAAAGAGGCAGTGGTGAGGAGGGGGGGGGGGGAAGCATAATATTCACACTCCCCCACCCCACCCCTCTACTTATTTCTGACCATCACTCACCCCCTTGGTGCAAATGTTTCTTTCTCTCCCCAGCCTACTGCTGCCATTAAAATCAAAGATGGTGGCCCAATTGTTGCTAAGAAAATACTGAGCACCCACACAGGCTAGACTGACCTCAACCCTAACCCTGAAGATTCTGAGGGGAAAGGGGTGGCCCTTAAAGGGAAATGGATTTTTTTCCAGTAAAAAACAATTCCAATTTATAACAAAAGGTTTAAATAATAGAGGATGATCATATTAAATTGTTCGCTTCCACACACCCTATGCATGCAACATTCTTACCAAGTTTGTCCTTGTGAGGAAAGTTTCTTCCACCAATGGTACACCTCTTGAATACCATTTTGTTTTCAGTTAGAGTTCCTGTCTTGTCTGAGAAGACATACTTGATCTGTCCTAGATCTTCATTAATGTTCAGTGCACGACATAGGACTGGTTGATCCATTTCAGGATAGTATAGTTCCAGGTCATTCGAGATGAAATACACTTGGAACAACTTGACAACTTCCATAGAAACATAAAGCGAGATTGGAATGAGGACCTGAGGATAAATAAATGTGTTCAGCACAAGTATGCCTGTTTGGGATATTCTCTGTAAATGTAAATGACAAGTTAGATTATCTATAATTACTGGTACAAAAGAGGAGCAATTTCAGTTTAATGGTCACGTAAAGAACCACCACAGTTCATGAAAAAAGTATCACACAGGTCATGCACATGTACCTACTAAAGTAACTAGCAAACCTGCAAAATTATGACAAATGTCCAGAATCTGATGAAACCCTCCATCTCTGGTTTTCTCACAAATGGCTGATCTGGACCAGTGAAACCAGGTGTGAAGTGTGTGTTGAAGAAACCATTTTTCCACGACCAAAACCCACAACCTGTGACAGAGACATGCATCATCAAAAAATGAGAGAGAATTCACAAAGCTTTTTAAATTTAATTATGAAACTACAAATCAAATTAAGCCATGATCATTGCAGGTAAGCTGAAATTTTAGCAATTGCAGATGGGAAGTCTGGAAAAAAAAAAAAAAAAAACTAAGCGTCAACTTGATTTTCACCAGTGCTTCCCAGATACTAGTTGGGCCCTACTACCTAGGTTCTAGCCACTCATTAGGAACAAGAAAAATTTCAGAGGGTTTTCTTTGTACACATGCTAAGCATATCTAACAACTATTCTTCTTGAAAATGTGGCAGTGGGCTTACTGCTGAGAAATCTTTTTCCAGTGTTCTACATAGTCTGCTATGATATACATTACCACATTACTTACCAACACCACCAAGGAAACATAGAATGAAGAGAATGATGACACATGCCAAAACATCTTTATTAAGATCCCTTTCCACTTTACTGCGCTTATATCTTGGACCACTGTTATTCATTAGAGCTTTGGTGTCATGACCTAACAGCAACAGGGAAATTTAGAAAAAAAAAAATTTTTTGTTTAAAAGTTTATAAAATGATCCCTGAAGGTCAGTCATACTACCACATATATTTTACAGTACAGTAACTATAGCCCATACCTTAGACAACAAGGTAAAACATTCAAGAGTTTTTAGGGCAAATTTTAGTCCTGCACCTTTTCCCCAGAATGTTAAACCAAATATGAATTGCCTACATGTGCAATGGTTTAAATTTCCCTTTTTTTCTGATCTATGGATGTCTAGTGAGAGGCAATTAAAGAAAAATACAAATTAAATTGTTTGGAAATCTTTTAAATTGAAGAAAATTTCCCCAATTAATGTCAATACTTATATTCTGAATTCCATGTTAAAGCATTTCCTTACCTGCATAGACAACCATTCCCTCTGCCCAGTCTGTATTGCGAATAATGCAGCCACGCAAGAGCAGATTGCTCTTTCCAACAGGAATCTCCCTTCCCTCATTATTGGATCTGAACATCAGAAGAGAGACCAACAAATAACACAGCTGCTGAAATCTTATCTCCAATAAACTTAAATATACTAAGTTAGGCTAATGTGACAGAAAGTTTTGTTTTCTATAACTCATGCTCATGCAAGAAGGTAAATGTGATTCCTTCTTCTTGGATAGCTGAGCTTATAAACTTGATCATCTTTCCCGCTGGTGTGATGTCTCACAATAGTACTCACCGAATTCACAGTAGATGTACACATAATTTCACTATATTAACAGGAGGCTTATAAGCTGTCACACTTAGTATCGACTTAAAAACCAAAAGGTCTAGTGCTCAGATAGTTTCCTATCAGTACTACTGAACAGACTAAGTAGTGACTGACACTGGCCTTCTTTGCAACCTTGGTGGAAGTCATCATGACAGTTACAAAAGTCAAATGCAGTTATCAAAACGATATGCTTACAAGGTCCCATGGAATCTGTGAATGTGATTATTTGGCTCCTCGCACTTGAGTTTAAATTCAAACTGTTCAGGGGAAAATCTCAAATTTTCCTGTCAACAAAAAAAAAATAACAATAACAGAAGTTGCTGGTGCTTGTAAGAACACTTAATGACCCTTATAAACAAGCAAAATTAAGTTTAAAAATGTTAAACCCGTATGGATTTTAATTTCTTTCTTCAAGCAAATTTCAAAATAGAAATTAAACTGATCTAGAAAATTTTATCTGTTTAACTTAAAATCAGTATCCATATTCTTCAAAGATTAATGAAAAGAAACCATTAACTATGAGAGTTGTTCAGCTCAGTATCAAGCAAAAACAATTCAAAAATAAATCTATAAATACCAAATTAAGTCCTTTCACCACTTCTCTTTGCTTCAGATTAGTTTCTCCATCAAGGTTAGCTGTCTCAATGTGGCAAATAGAATTTTCATCACTTGTGTTAATTAAAAGGATATCTGATGGGATGCTCTCATCACTTCTAAGCTTCACAAAATCTCCAACTACCACCTTTTTCCATTTGACTGGTTGATATTCCTTAGCCTCACTTTAAAATATAAAAAAATAAGTTGAATTATTATTTTAAAAAGTGTATGGAGTGTATTTCATTTCCAGAAGGAAGGATGTGAAAAGAATATATGAACTGGTGCAGAACACATTGCACCTGACATAATGAAGCTCAAACAACAGTTATTGTCTGCAGCTGCTAATTTGTTGGCCATATGATAATTTTATTTATACTGGTTGGTAATGGTGTCTGATACTGTTCTAGTTATTGACTATAATTTCTGGCTTTCATATATAACTTTTTACAAGTCATGATTTTTTTATACTAGGTCCAAAAAATCTATAAATGTACATCTTATATCATTCTATTCTAAATTAAGTAATTTTTTGTGGTTTCTGTTTGAGTTCATTTTTTGAAGATGAAACCATTCATTTGAGTCAACTACTGTAACCATACTTTATAAAAACACAACATATCAAATTTTTCACACCCAGAAAAGAAAGCTTGTCAGAGGCCACTGTTAAACTTGGCTGAAACGGAACTTACATTAACCTGTTGTTATGTAAATTCATAATTTAACACAAACATATATTTCTAAGATATATTTCTAACATATATATTTTTTTTTTCACTCCCAGAAAAGAAAGCTTGTCAGAGGCCACTGTTAAACTTGGCTGAAACAGAACTTACATTAACCTGTTATTATGTAAATTCCGAATTTAACACAAACATATATTTCTAATAAGTCCATTCACATAAAAAAAACCTGTGATTAAATTGGATTAGCAACACATCACAATTTAGAAAATTTGCCAGATCCAGTAAAAGAGATATTTTATGATATGTATGAAATTGCCTTTTTTCTTTCCTGTGCTTTTAATGATGTAACATTTGAAGTTTTATTTTGACATGATTCTGTAAATAAATATTTTTCTCCTAAATCATTAAAATGTATAATTATGTTTGAATGGTAAACAGCAGTTTTTGGCTTAAGCTAAAAAATATTTTTTGCATAAGTTAACCCTATGATCACAAATCCCCATAATATTTCAAGTGCCACACTATTTTGACAGTCATCTTTGGGTGGTTGAACCAAATCAGCCTCCAGTAAACATTGCTTTTTAACCTGACATCATTAATTTCACAATGTCTACAAAAGTTAATAAACGCTTGTAGTCTTCCCATACTCTCTTTTGGTCAACTGAAGGTCAACATGCATATTTAGCATATTTTTGCAATTTTGATTTATTACAGGGGAAAAGTAAAAGGAGAAAAAAAAAGCTTCATGTTAAAGTGAAGGTTAATTGAAGTTTGTTTTCTTTCCTGCTTTGTCATGGGGAACATCATTCCGCTCATTAAAATTTACTTAAGTGTGTGGGCAGATGTGTTTACTTATCACAAGTCTAGATCTTTGTCATGCATGTTGCAGACTAAATCTTTCAAGCACTCTTGTATATTAGATCTATCAACCTCATAAGAGAAATCTTGAGATTGAAAGCGTGTTTCCAATATGTCACTCTCTACACGTTTCTAGAGTAATAATGAAACATAAAAGACATACGGAGCTTCAGCTTAGAATATTTGCTTTTAAGAACAAGATTTGAAGAACGTCCACGTCGACTTGATAAAATATGCAACTGGGTAAATCCAAGAGCAGCAAAAAACAAAAAATAAAATTGGAAAATAGAGATACTCACCTGTTAAAAACATGGCAGATATTATTATTCACCGCTTTATCCGATTTGTACCGTCTTCGATCTTCATATAAATCTTTTATCGCCGTCACCGAAAGAACAAATATCAAAGGCACCATGGCGATGTATTTCCCAAATGCATTAATTTCAGGAATCAAATTTAAAATTATGATCACCAAGAAGTAAATGTTCGCAAATCGGTGAAATTGCTCGAATAGATTCTTTGGAAGAAAGGACCATAGTGAATACTTGGTGGTCTTGATCGAATTGCCAAGATTGTACTTAGAGTGAATGTTGTTGAGATCTTCATCAGTTTGAGCATGTTTTGGAGCAACGAGCCGGTAGCGCTCGCCTACACTTCTCTTCCTCCTTCGCATGCCAGCAAGTCGAGGTCCAAACGCCCTCAAAAAAGCAAATCTGTAAATTGGTTACATTAGAAGGTCAGAGAATCTTGAATCAAATAAATGACTCAGGCGGAAGACGTGGTCCATCACGCGAAAGCGGAACTCAACACCGTTGACGTTGGTTGACGTGCAAACAACTTCCCGCGAGCCCGCATTCATTGATATCAGTGATCGTCAACAATCGGACCTTGTCGGAAGCCTCCGATATTATTCAGAGACGAAGTCGATCCACGATCCCATGCTTCCTAGCGAGCTTTGAACGCCATATTGGCTTGTTTCGAGTTGATGTTATAACTGCATTCCCGTGGTAAATCTTCCCTGTTTGGGTGCTTCTGGTTCAAGATGGGTCGAAAATTTGGGATGCTGACGAATGCCAAGAATATCATCACTTATTCCTTGTCTCCATTCGAACAACGTGCTTTTGCTGGGATTGCGAAAGGGATGGCAAACATGGCCAGAAGAGTGAAGTTGCAGTTACCGTATCAGCTACCGGCTGTTATCACTGGAATATTGATCTACACATGGGCAAATGACGACTTTCACAAGCGAAACAGGAAGAATCTGAAAGACTTTGAAAATGACGAATGAAATTTGATGCGGATCTTCTTACTTCTACTGTAAAGAAAATATTTTCTTGAAGTCTTTTAATCTGCGCACGCAATGTTGATAACGTGACGCCGATCAATCAGCCAAAGATCGACACCGTAATTTGAGAAAGTTTTGTTTTTTCGCTGAATTGATGCCTTTGGATCCTTGCTGGCAATTTTTTTTATGTAACTGTTCTTTTCTTGTGGCTAATTGGAACATTAATGGTCTTGCAAAATGCAATAAACTGTTAATACTTATGGCTGAGTGTAATTAAGAGAATTTTCAAAATATGTACCTAGTCAGGTGAAATGTAAACTGATTTCTGAGTTCAGAGGCTGTTGTTACTTGGTAATAAACAACTATTGGTTTGATCTTTTATTGTTTGCAATGATATTTCAGTATTTCTATTGCACAGCAAACTTTTCCTTGGTAAAAGGTCAGTGAAAGGTTTCACAGATGATACTGGACAATACCACAGGGAGATATCTTGTATCACCCAGGTTCAGACTGTCACCTCTGGCCAGCATATATAGTTCCAAAGATAATTCTTAAGGCTTATTACTGGGGTAAGCTATCTTTGTTATGATTGTTGGTTTTGTGTGGGTTGTGGAAAACATGGTAGGTCATTGAATTTTATTATTTTATTTTCCAGGCCTTGAAAGTAGTGGAATTTAGGTTTGGTTCCTGGAAAATCATGAAAAGTCATGAAAATCAGCAGGTTATCTGTAAGTGCTAAGCAATGCAGATCCAAAGTAAGATTTAATTTCAGTAGAATTAAACTCTACATTAGGGTGTGTTGCAAGATCT